ATAAAACAGATAAACAACAAGGACCTACTGTATAACACAGGGAACTATACTCAATTTCTTGTAATGAGTCGTAGTGGTCAAGAAACTGAAAATATGTATGTATATGTATCACTGACTTGCTTTGCTGTACACCTGAAACTAACATAAATTGACTATACTTCAATAAAAAATAAGAATTAAAAAAAAAAAACCCGAACATGGCAGCTTCTGTGTGCTCCATGTGTGGAGGGGAGGAGTGGTTTCCAAATAAAGGTGGGGGTGGTAGAGTTAGGTCTCCACTCCCATAGTTTTCCAGTACTGTCATCTTCGTAATTAAATATTTGAGTCAAAAGTATAAACAAAAGGTAGGCTAGGATATAACACACTAATTAGAAGACTAAAGAATGTTATCATGTACAGAGCCTTAAAACACCTCCGAGGTGGAAAGTTTCAGGTCTAATTATGAGAAGCTGCAGGTTATAAGGAGGATGAGTTATCTTGGGACATCAGACTTAACATAAATATGATGACTTTTCGAGGCGACTGTCAACAACAGGCCTTTTAACACCTAAGGGGTAGAAAACAGATTAATGACGATGTCTGATAATGAGATTCAGTCCTTAGGTTTCTCTATCTGTAGTGCAGTTCTTCATTAGTGGATAGCTCCACGTGCTCATGCATTTTACAGGAGAAAACCCAAGTAGGCATCTCACCAAAATGTTCTTTCAGGAAAAGTTTATTGTGATCTAAAGCTGGGCGTGGGGTGAGGGGAAGGAGTGCCTATTGCTTGCAAGTATAAAAAAACACAGAGATCAATCGAACACTTTTAAAGTGTGGCACAGAGTTAAGAGTTATATTAATTTAATTGAGTTCACCTTGAATAATCCAAAAGGGAAAAAGTGACAGTGCTGAGCCCTCAGTCCCGATCTGCCAAGCTCACACCCACCAGGATGGATTTTGATCTGAGTTTACATCTATTTATAGCCTCTACTGATATTTGGCTAATGAAAACTTGAAAGCAGATTTTCTAACCACCAGCACATGGCAAGTAGAGGGATGAACTTCTGGAGACACTGATCTGTTTGATAAATAGAATCAGAGCTGACCAGCATGGCATCCTTATGAAATGAGAATGTGTTGCACTTAATTGTACATTATTAGCAGAATAGAAGGGGGAAAAAACCACGAAGAAGGTGAACCTTATACTTTTCTCTAAGAAGAAGTATTTCTCAGCAGAAGGTACAAAAAGGGAGCTGTGAGGGGGAGGGTACAGCTCAGTGGTAGAGCACGTGCGTAGCATGCACAAGGTCCCGGGTTGAACCCCCAGTACCTCCATTAAAAAATAAACAAATAAATCTACCTCCCCCACAAAAAAATTAAATTAAATACTTTTTAGAAAAAAAAGAAAAGAAAAAGGGAACTGTGTTATTCTTCTCTGTGTAGTAGATAAAAACATGCAGTCTCTTCGATATCCTGTAATAAACTATAATGGAAAAGAATCTGAAAAAGAATATACGTGTATGTGTGTGTGTGTGTATGAATCCCTCTGCTATACACCAGAAACTAACACAACATTGTAAATCAACTATACTTCAATAAAAAACAAACAAAATCCCCCCCAAAAAACAAAAAGAAGAAAAAAAAAAACATGCAGGCTTTGGTGCCACACTAGCTGACTTCAAATCTGGACTCTGCCTTAGACTATTTAACCTCCCCAGGCTTCACTCCTCATAGGCAGGATGGGGATCACAACAGCACTTGTCCCACAGGGATGATATGTAAAGGGTTCAATCATATATTCGAGTTAACCCTCGAATAACACGGGTTTGAACTTTGCGGGCCCACCTACATGCAGATTGTTTTCAATAGATACCTACTACAGTTCGACACAATCCTTGGATGTGGAACCTCGGATCCGAAGGGGTGACTGTAAAGTTATGGGTTGATTTTCAACTGTGTAGAGGGTCAGCAGCTCTAATCCCTGCATTGCTCATGGGTCAACTGTACATGTAAAGTGCTTACACCGTGTGTGCCACTCAGTGAGTCCCTATTAAACTTAGCTCTTTTGTTACTGCTGATTATCTGTAGTCAGTCACGGAGCAATAATCTACTTAGCATCCTCAGAATCTCTGATCAAATCTTGGAACAGAATAACTTTTCTCTTTTCTACTCTCACTAATAAATACTATGGTATTTAAAAAATAAAAATGCTAGTGTGCAATTTTTTGGCATGAGGCACCACCTATATTAATTTCTAAGAATTTCCTATGCAATAGGTTTATGTATTTCTGTTACAGGACCAAGTCCTGTGTTTATGTAAATATAATACGGGTGTAAGTATATGAATTCAGGATGTTTAGAAACTCAAGAGGACTCAAGGCCTCCAACAGCTGTTATTATAATAAGCCCTTAATTCTTGGTATTTCTCAAAATGGACTCCCGAAACATTAAATAGATACATTCTCTTGCACATAATTTGCTCATAGTTTACAATTATTAATAAATATTCACTGATCAGTTATACGTTTATAAAAATAAAAAAAAATACTGAGTGTTGGGGTAGAATCAATATTGATTTTTCTCTCCCTCACTCTCTCCCATCCTGTTTGAAAATTTTCTCTGGGACATATTACTCAGGAGCAGAACTGCTTTGTACATTCTACATACTAATTTGCTTATTGGTTTTAGACATTAAAATATCTCTCCCTGTGTTGTCATGTTGTCATGTACCTATTAGCTTTGTCTGTGTGGTGGCTTACTGAGTAGAATTTTAAATTTGATGTAATAAAATTAATTAAGATTTGATTCTGGCCATGAGGGAGTAAGCAGATTTTACCCCAAGTAAGAATTCTGAACAGAATGCATACAGCAATTGATTTCTTGATTTCAAAAAATTAACATTTTCCATAGAATTTAAACAAAACCCAGAGTCAACAATAGCTGTATATTTTCCTTGAAAATCTGTTTTAGCTGAGTCATATGTATTTTGACATGTATTGCCATTCAGTTTCGAGTATCTCTTAATTTCCTCTGTTATTTTGAGCAGTTTGAATTCTTTGAATTTATCTTCTTTGGGATTGTCTTCTTTGGACTGTGACTTTTAACCTGATGATTTCAGCCTTAAGGAGTTTATCTGTGCTTGATGCAGAGGGAAAAATGATTTATGCATACTTTTGATTCTGGAATTCTCTTTCCCTCTTCTCTCATTGCTTTCTCCTTTGCAGCTAGGCTCTCCCTAGAGATACACAGTCAGCTCATTAGAAAAACAGTTGACTTTTAGCAATTTAGTTCTGCAAATATGAAGTTGACACATGCACAAATTCAAGGTTCTAGAACTCTTGCTTAGTGATGAACTACTTTTTATAAGAATGGATACTATTGAATTTCAAATGAAAAATACAGTTCAGCTTTATGAGTTGGCTTGCTTAACTGGTAAAGCTACGATATCCATGGCATTTTAATTTATACCAAAAAGTAATCTTTTTTAGAAACGCTTTTAACTCTAAAATACTAGATTTCTCATGCAGCTGAGTAACAGTCACTTCTGTAACTACCTGAAATCATTTTGCTGACCTTTCACATGAAACATATGTTGTGCCTAAAATGAATGTTTTAACATAATTTCATAACATTGTCTAACATAAGCTGTGCACTGATAATTTAACTTTCTTGATTTTCATAGAGAAAATTTTAGAAAATCTTATTCTCAAGAATAAAGAAAAGCCATTACTTACAAGAGGATTGGAGTATGTACTGTCTATTTCTGGGCTAGACATAGTCACTGACCTGAAAATCCTAGTGTGAGCATCTTTTATTCTTAGATACTTTGATAGCACTGTTACATAATGCTAGGATCCTATGAAGAAACAGGGTAATGTAAGCTAATCACTGAGTGGCATTCAGGGATTGTGGGTCCTACACAGTCATTTGTTCAGCTGTGTGTTTAAAGTCTGGCCATGCTGTTGCCACTCTCCAGGCAGGAAGACTGCAGGAAGGAGGGGTGCTCTTATGCTTCCTTTCCAGATCACACTCTAGGACCACAATGCCAGTGTGCACATCCTTAAGCCTGAAGGTTTGGCAGGGGATGGCTGTTTAAGGCAGCTGGAACTTGGAAGAGTGAACTGGGGTGAGCACCTGTGTGCACGTGTGTGTGTGCATGCATGTGTGTCCACACACCTAAGGTCAGCAGAGGAGGGAGCTCAGGGTCAGAACTCAACACAGTTCATAGTACTGTATAGATAATGAATGAATTTTATACCTGTTTCAAATTAAGAACTAATAAAAACAAAGTGGTTTTCCACTTTCATGGAGGTTCCAGTCTCATAAGGGAGATAAGCTACTTCAATATAAAAATGATAAACCAGTAACTCAAGGCAATATAGGATAATATTCATAGCTAGCACCTATTGAGTATTTCCAGTGTTAAAACACATTGCATGTATTTTCTTATTTAATCCTCACAGAAACTCTATGAGATTGGTTCTATTATTGTTCCTATTTTAAAATCAGGAAATTGAGGCTTAGGTCAATCAAAGTCACATAACCACTGAGTGGCAGAGCCTGAGGCCCTCAGGTTATACCCCTATGTCCTCAGGTTATTTTGTGACCTTATGATGCCCTGCCTTCTCTTATATCTTACACTCTGCAACTTCTTAGCCTCTACTTGCTTTCCTTGTGCTGCAGAGAAAAGAAACAGGTCAGAGTGAGCTGGCGAGAACAGGGAAGGTAAAAGAGGGGGCCCAGGACTGATTCTGAAAAAAGTGTTGATGCTATTGGGATGAGACAGGAAGAATCAGAAGAATATGAGCAAAATATGAATCAAAGAAAACACCATTAAAAAAAGCTCTCTTCATCTCTCCATATGAATTGTTTTTTTCTTTATAGGATCCATTAGAAAAATCAAGTTTCAAAAGTAGAACGAAAAATCCTTTCCATGAGAACATTGGGCTCTGTGAAAGAACGGCAAAATGCTTTAGATACAAAAAATACTTCTTTAAGTGACATAAGGTAGAATTTTCTTTCTGCAAGCAGGAAAGTATACTGAAGAGTGTGCACTACCTCCCCCAGGTATGATCAATGGTCAGTAGCAGGTCAGAATAAATCACTCCTTTCTCTTAACGAGTATTCCTTTTATGCAAAGATATTTACTTTCAGACTCTTACAAGTGTTGCAGCTGGGCCACTGGGTACTCTTTGTTCCTTACCATTAAATTCTGAATATTGTGTTTAACTCTAAATTCTACCTGACAGGTACCACCAAGAGAGCAGCACACCATCCAAGGACTCAACTCTCGGCCCTCCTTCTGACCCCAAGAAGCTGTCCCTTCATGGCCAAAGTCCCTGTCGACCCTTACCTACCCCCTCCAGGAGGAGCTGTCAGTCCACCTCAGCCACTGGCCAAGCTGTCAGTGTGCCACTTTGCACAACAAACACAAAAGAACCCCAGGGATTTTCAGATCACAAAGACTCTCTAAGTGAAATCTCTTTCAAGTGCAATGGGAACGGAAATGAGTTTTACTTAGGAAATTCCTCCCCAGCCTCCCCTTTACAGAGCAACCCAAACCTAGAAAAAAAGGAGTCAGAACTTCATTTGTACGTTATTTCCACCACCTCATCAATATTTCTGCACTTAAAAAGTTCATGGAACAATTATATTATAGTAAGTGTCCTCCTAAGTTAACCTTGACTTGAGTACTGTGTTTTAGGGTACCCTTCCCTGCCCTTCCTCCCCATTTTGGAAATTTAACTTTGGAATTTAATAATTCCAATTGTGTAAGACACAAGGCACTGGACAATTAAGGAGATGATTTTATTCAGGCTATTGCATTAGGGAAAATGCTTGTTAATGAAAAGTGTCTTAAAGAAAAGGAGATGGCCCTGAGGTTATCTAGACGCAGGTAATAAACAAGGAAGTCAACAGTGAGCCTCATGGGAATCATGAGGAAGGATGGAGATAGGTCTTATCTTGGAATTTCTGTGAGCAGGGTGGTCTTTTGCAGTTAGGTGGGGTGATTTCTCAACCATTCTGCTTTCAGAGAGCACAGAGCTCAGATAAAGTTCAACATTATCAACATGTTTCTGTATTCCTCAGCTGCACTATTGAAAATAGGTTCATGGGAGTCATTGTCATAGGATCAGATAATTTCATAGAGATCTCCTGGTCTGTGTCCCTTATTTTATAAATGAGGAGACTGAAGCTCAGAAATTTTAAGTGACTGACTTGATATTATATAGTAAGTTTAGGGGCAGAGTCAGAACTCTCATTTAGGAATCTTTTTATTACACTAGGATCAGTTTTAAAATAAGTGATTTGCTAAAAGAATAATATGACTCTCTTTTAGTTATCTTCAGTGATGCATAATTTTTATTATTGATCTTCCAGAATGATAGTATTAAGGAATATGACAGATTCTTTTCACTCAGAAGAAGCTAGGAAGCAAGGGGATTTATAAGTGGCCAAAAATTGTGAAAGATTGCAAGACAACTCTAATTTTTTTCCCAGAGCACAGTTCAGAATGTTTAATCTTTAAATTAAACGTTAAATGTTGAAAATTCCTCCCTAAAATTTTAAACAGCTTTCTCCAAATTAAGAATGTGAATGAATCATAAATAGAGGGAAAACCCTGCTCTACTAACAGAAGGCCTCACATGTTCTAACAGAAAACCCAAAACTTAAGTTGACTTTTAAAAGTCTACTTAATACTTCAAAATAACCGTTCATGCTTCCCTCAATTAACTAACTCCCAGTTTTAAGTACTACTTTTAAATTCTGCAGCAGAAGCATGTTTGGGGCAAGTCAGGCCAACGCATAGCCCTTCTGATAATAACAGCAGTAACAAATAACTGACATGTATTGTTAGTAGCAGTAGGAACTGTTCTGATGCTTTTTATATATTAACTCATCTAATCTGCTTGACAGTCTTATGACGTAGGACTGTTACTCTCATTCCACAGATGAGGAAACGGAGGCACAGGGAAATCAAACGATATATTCAAGGCTGTACAACTAATATACAGCTGGGATTTGACCCCAGATAGTCTGATTTTTTCCCTATGACTACTGAAATAAATGCGGGTGGGGGGGTTATCTTTATGAGTTGGTGGATGTTATCATTAAAAACAATGTTCTATTCCTTGAAAGATGGAAAACAAGTAAATATTTCATATAGAAATGATGAATCAATCAGGTTAGCATTCATTCTAGTGAGAATAAGATATTAATTCAATATAAACATTTTAAGAGCTGTGACTTTTCTGTGACATTGAATTCTTTCATCAAGTTGGTCACTTTTGGTTAGTCTCGGTGCTGTCTTCACAAGTTTTAGGAAATTGAAAAAAAAAATAATATCCTAAATCAGTCAGACTTATCTTGGGTAACTGACCTCCTGTGCCTTGAGATTTCCTTCATGTTGAGGTATGCAGATGCTCTTGGGAAAAGGAATTAGACGTCTTAACTCTCAGTATACTTTCAGGTAAAATTAACCTAAATCACCCAGCTAGAATTTAGCACTCATTCTGATTTTAACGGTTTCCAAAGAGTCAGTAACCTATTTTATCTGTAACTTTCATCAAAAGTAATTATTCCTGAATCGTTTAGCATCTTAAATTCTACAGAGACAAAATATGGCAATTCTTTGCCCTTAATATGTTGTGAAGATAACTGTAGAAAGCTAAATAACTAAGGAATATTCTCAAATTAAAATTCAAGATTTAAGGCAAGAATAAACACTTGGAGAGGGAAAAGAGGCAGTTTTTTTTAAATACACAGAGCAATGACAAAAATAGTAAGAAAAAGCACTTAATCCCCTCCCCTCTGCCACTCACCCACCACCCTATTCTGTAATTAAGGAATAAGCCGGGCGAAGCTTGTTTGGAGTTGTAATTTAGCAACATTTCAGAAATTCCTTCTAACCTGTCTGTTAAACTTCAACATATATAATTATTTAGAGAATCTGCTAAACACTACATGCCCATTTGTTTCAAGACCCAGAACGAGTGGGAAATGGCGACACTAAAGATTTAAGGAAAAAATAACCCCATTTATGGGGGAATAGCTCATGAAATTATTGTATACCTTGGCTATGGAATACTAGGTAATCATAAAAAGACTGAAGTCAGTCTATATCCATAGACATGATAAACTGTACATCATGTATTAAATGAAAAAAAATTACAGATTAATATATGTGATATGATGTAGCTAGTATTAGATACATATTATAAAATATATCATCTAATGTGTAAATATTATAAATGTATATATTATAATTAATATGTTTTTACATGTCTGAAAGAATATAATAGTAAGGTATTCTGAATATTGTGATAAGAGGGGTAGGGAACTGTTATCATTTACTTTATGTATTTCTGTACTGTTTAATTTTGATAGATTATTTTATTTTTAATTGAAGTATAGTCAGTTTACAACATTGATTATTTTATTTTATAATGAGCAAATGTTATGTTTAAAACTTAAAAAATATATATATATATAAGGAAAAAAATCCCCTGTGGTATTATTAAATGCTCGAATGAGTTACATGAACAAATCATGTACTGAAGAAGGGATTAAAGAATAGATGTATGACATTGACTAAAAATAGGAGGCACTGATTTTCAGTAAACAAAAATTCTAACCATTCCTACTTTTTTCCTCTTTCAGAAAGCTACTCTTTTACAAGATCCCCTCTATGTTAGTGAGCTCAGTCCTGCTACTGGAAGTCAAAAGCCATACAGGTAAGGAGTGATGACAGGACAGAGTTGCGTGGGGGGGGGTGTTCTCTTTCTTTGCCTCTCCTAACTCTACGTACTGCTGACTGTCACATTTATATATACGGCAACTCTCTGCCTGGAATTGCAGATACAGTTACCCAGTGGACATCACTTCTTGTATGTCTCACAGGAGCCTCAAAGTCAGCATATGCAAAACAGAACTCAGCATCTTCCTTCTGGGACCTGACCTTCCATCTGTGTTTCCTAACACGGGGCATGATGTCATTTTCTCCAGATAGCCTAAGCCAGCGTCCTGGATGCCTAGAGCATCATCCCCCATATCCAGCCAATCACTGCATGATTTATTGTACTCATTGAATCTCTCTGGATAACATCCACTTCTTTCCACTGCTGCATGCTCACGTCCAGTTATCTCTGTTCTGGGTTCCTACAGTATTTTTCCAGCTGGCTTCTGCCTTGTTCTTGCCTCTCTATACCGTGCTGCAGTACAACAGAGGAATTTTTCAGAAGCACAAATCTGATTGTGTAATCCCTCCTTTAAAGCCTGTAAATAGCTCCCCATTGCTCTTAGAAGGTCTACACTCTATAACAGCTTATACAAATCTTCCTGATGTCTCTTTATTTTTCCATCCTCAACTAGTGTGCTCCCCATAGTCCTGCCCTAAGCTCCTGATCCAAATGAACTCGTAGTTCTCAGAAAGCTCCCTATTTATCTGCTCTCTGTTTATCTGGCATGATGGCTTCTATTTAAGAACCCTACTCTCTTCTCTCCTTCCCCTTCATAAAAAACGTCAGCTCCCCAAGTCTTAGCTTACTCTCCCTTTGTCTAAAAATCATTTCTCAAAACTAAGTGAAGAGGGCCCCTTTATAACATCCTGTGCCTACATATCTTGTGGCACTGTCCAGTCTGTATGATTACGTGCTGTCCTATAATGCAGTATGGTCCTTAAGGACAGGGACTCTATATCTTGATCACCGGCATATAGTAGGCTACCAATAAGCCTTTATGGAAGGAAGGAAGGAAGGAAGGAAGGAAGGAAGGAAGGAAGGAAGGAGATAAGATAGAGGCTAGGACCTTATAGGCAAGGCTAAGGAGTTTGGATTTTATCCAGACTCCATAGTTCTATTACGTTCTCATCACAGTCTGCCTTGTATTGAAGTAGTTACTTGTGATGTGACTATTTCTTCCAACGGACTGTGAGCCCCTAGAAGGCAAGGAGTATGTCTTATTAATTTTTTTATTTTTCTTACTTAAAATAGTGCTTTGCGTTCACTCCATGAATTGATGGTGCCAATGATTCTGATAGTAAGTTATGGGCAAGTTTTGAGAGATTTATGACAGTGACATATATTGGGAGTCGTAAATGAACTAAGGGTAAGTTTAATTTTAAAAGATTAATGTTCATTCCCCACTAAACGGAACCTAAGTTCCGTGGAAGAGTGACTGATTCTAGGTCTGGGGCAGGAAATACACAAATGAGTCTGAAACAGTAACGGGGCCCTAACTAAAGGATACAGGAGCCTATGTGAAGGGGCTCCAAACAGCCAAAGATTGAACAATTTGAAAGTCAGAAAAAAAATAATGAATGAGATGGCTGAAACACAGTGAATATATAAAAAATTCCGAAGTGTATAATGATGCATCATAGAGAGAAAGTCTTGCCTCCTACCCTTCCCCAGAAAGAAATAAAAGTGCACTGAACTCCACTGGAAGTAAATAGGGCACTAACTCATTTCTCTGCAAATCAAGCAAACAAGCGGAAAGAATTAAGCATTATCCTGCCTTTCCTGCATAAACAGTAATTAGTTCAGGGTAACCAAGTAGCCCAAGTTGATGAGCTGCAAATTCCATTTTACAGAATTCCAGCTAATGAAATGTGGAAGGTTTAATAGAATTAGAAAATTACCATTTTTTCAACCTCTGATGATATAATAGATCCATGCAGTAATCCTCGATGGATGAAACCATTAGATAGAAAGGTGAAGTGGAACTTCAGAATGGAGGAGTGTTGTAATATAACTAAACCCACTGGTCAGTCTCAGCATCCCTTAGGTGGGATGTTATAATGAGACACTTAAAACTTTTGTACCTCATTGTTTGATGCAGTATGAAACACGCGGCACCACCTATGACGTATCTTTGTTCAAACAATTAAACTTAAATCTAACTTAAAAGTGTGGGTATGTCAGCCTTAAGAAGGAATGAAATTCTGACACATGTGACAACATGGATGAACCCTGAAGAAATTATGCTAAGTGAAATAAGCCAGACATAAAAGGACAAATATTGTGTGATTCCTCTCATATGAGGCACCTAGAATAGGCAAATTCATAGAAACAGAGCAGAATAGAGGCTACCGGGAGCTGTGGGGAGAAGGGAATGGAGCCATTGTTTAATGAGTGCAGAGTTGTTTGGGAAGATGAAAAAGTTCTGGAAATAGACAGTTGTGATGATTGCACAACATTTGTGTATGCATTTAATGCTGCTGAACTGTACACCTAAAGATGGTTAAAATGGTAGGTTTTATGTTACGTATATTTTATTTCAAAATTTTTATAGGTGTGTGTGTAAAAGGTAATAGATAAAACAAGATTGGCAAAATGTTGAAAATTATTGAAGCTAGGTGATGGGTATGTGGGGGTTTCTTATACGCTCTTCTCCATTTTTGTGTATGTTTGAAAATGTCTATAGGAAAAGTTTTTAAAAGACTTAAGAAATATAGCAAGCAAATATAACAATTATCTTATTTAGATCTTGACTCTAACAAACCAAATATAAGAAGACATTTTTAAGACAACAGAAAACATTTGAATATGGACTGAGTATTAGACAATACCATAGAATTATTGATAATTTTGTTGGGTGTGATAATAATGATTTTGCAAGGAAATGTTTCTTTAATTTTGAGTTAGGTTCGGAGGTATATAGGGGTTAAATAACAATGTTTGGGATTTCTTTTTCAAAAAGATGGTTATACAGGTAGCTTAGAATTTCTACATGCTGTCATATGTCTACTTTAAAAAAGTATCAGTTTTAATGTTGGTGCTATATTATACATAAAGTGATCATAAAGCTAACTGTGTAATAAAACAGGCTCTAACTTTGTGTTATCCCAGAAGGCAAGGAGAGTTCTGCCACTATTTTGACTCAGGAAAAGCATATTCTTGCAAAGTTAATTTCTGAAGGCAACATATTTAAAATATAGTAATTTAATGTACCATGAAGGATGCAAGTATATGCACAAGATACACGAGAAATGGTCTCTTTCTGTGAGGCATCTTTGGTTTAAAAGGAATAGGTGTTCTTTGGGTTTTCAAATTCAAAGGCGTTTTCACAGTTGTGAGTTCTGTAATCTGACCATTGTGAACATATACACAGTGCTTCTGAGATAATGTATGAAAGGCCTTTCCAGCTGTAAAGCATTATACAAATGTAAAGTACTACTTACATCAAATGTCTGGAAAAGTGAAAAAATATAGGAAAAATAGAGACTATCATTAGATCAAGAATCCTCTTGCCACATTATTTGGGTGAATTTGTGTTTTCCAGCTCATGAAAATAAAGAATATCTGTTAACATTAATATAAAATTTCTCCTTATTCCTGAATGGAATAATGGAGTCTTTTGGCAGTAGACTTTTTCTTATTTAAATTAGTCAAAGGAAACTTGTCATCTATGTAAAAGCAAATATTCTCTGAATTTTCAAAGAAAGTGTGATTATACATAACTTCTCTGTAGATATACAGGCTACTGAACCTAACTTGAATTTATGAGTTATATGAGACCTCAATTTCTATATGAATTGATTTTTAGTATGAAGTCATTAGTGTGCTTTTTCTTATGCAATTTTTTTTGGCCTTTTTGAAAAAAATATTTTGGTATTAATATCTATTGTCATAGGTGTCAAAAGATAAAACAGTTTATTTCTATATGGATCTTAGCAACTTGCTGACTCCTAATGGGAAAAACTGGAAAATCAATTTTAAATTATTATGCTGTTATTGTATTTTTTCTAAGCTTTTACTTTTCTAAGCTCATTTGTTTGTGAAAACTACCTTTGTACTGGGTTTTTCTTTTTAGTTCTAAAAGAGTAAAGTTGTGGTTATTTTTAAAATGAAGTGTGGCAGTAATTAACAGTGGATGCATAGGGAAGCAGGATTCAAAGCTCATTCCTATTTTATTTAGATAACATTTATGAAACACTTACTGTGTGCTAAGCACATGCAGTAACTAAAGTATCAGAACAGCACAATGGGATAGGTACTATCATCACTCCCATTTTACAGATGAGGACCTTGAGGCACAGAGAGACCAGGAAACTTGCCTGTGGTAACTAGCCAGTGGAATAGGGGCAGATCTAGGATTCTGATCAGCCCATCTGACCCTGCCCCCATGCTCATAATCATGCTCTTCCACCTCTATGATTGCTATCACTGAATTCTTTTTTTTTAATTGAGGTATAGTTGATTTACAATAGTATATTAGTTTTAGGTGTACAACATAGAGATTCACAATTTTTAATGATTATAGTCCATTTATAGTTATTCTAAAATATTATATTCCCTGTGCTATAAATATATCCTTGTAGCTTAATTATGTTATACATAGTAGTTTGTACCTCTTCATCCCCTGTGTCTGTCTTGCCCCTCCCCACTTCCCTCTCCTCGCTGGTAACCACTAGTTTGTTCTCTATATCTGTGAGTTTGTTTCTTTTTTGTTACATTCACTAGTTTTATTTTTTAGATTCCACATAGAAGTGATATCATACAGTACTTTTCTTTCTCTGTCTGACTTATTTCAACTAAGCATAATACTCTCCAGGTCCATCCATGTTGTTGCAAATGGCAAAATTTTCATTCTTTTTCATAGCTGAGTGGTATTCCTCTGTGTGTGTGTGCGCGCGCGTGCGTGTACACTACATCTTTATCCATTCACCTTTTGATGGACACTAGGTTGTAAATAATGCTGCTGTGAACACTGGGGTGCATGTGTCTTTTCGAATTAGTGTTTTCGTTTTCTTCAGATATACAACCAGGAGTGGAATTGTTTAGTCATATGTTGGTTCTGTTTTTAGTTTTTTGAGAAACCTCCATACTGTTTTCCACAGTAGCTCCACCAATTTACATTCCCACCAATAGTGTACAAGGGTTCCCTTTTGCCCACATCCTTGCCAACATTTGTTATTTGTGGTCTTATTGATGGCTAAAACTGAATTCCTAATGATCATTTCTCCTCCAGTGTTTCCACTAGAAAAGAGACTGTTTTTCAGGAAGTCTTAAGTTTTGTATTAATAAGAGGTTCACTGATTGGATAGAGGAGAGCATCTTAGATCATTTTAAATAAAGGGGGAGGTAGTGGGCAAGAATGAAGATTCTATGTAGTATTATTGGAATAAATGGCTGGTATCAAGATTTGTGGAGTAGGTGGTAAAAATATTTTTACTTCAAGTCAGAAATTCTAAGACATTTCCATCAACCTACACAGAACATGAAACATCTCTCCGACAGTTACTTTGCACCCTGCTCTTCTGAATCACTAGTTGTGTAAGTCTGGACAGGCTACTTAACCTTACATCCCATAAATGTGACAGTAATTCCCAGCTCAGCCCTCCTGGTGACACTGAATGAACAAGTCCTTGAATAGTACCCAGGCCAGAGCCTGCCACAGAGTCAGTGCTCAGTCAAGTGCAAGTTGCTATTACTGAACACAGTGGGAGATGGAAACAGTATCTCACCGGATCATGTTTTATCAAGTTGTTGCAAATCAGGTGAGGGGCAGGACAAGTACACAAATGACTACAATGGGGTGAAGTCGGATGAGTGTGGTATAAGAAATGTGGAAAAAGTGCTATGGGAGAGGGTCCCCATTCGTTGGTGAAATTAGGGAAAGCTCTAAAGAGAAGATGTTAACTCGTTTCAGCCAAGCCAGCTTTTCCTGAAGTGTGGAACGCACGTGGGGCAGGAATGGGAGATGACTTCATGTGGTAGCCTGACATGGCCTGAAATAACTTTGAATTCCATGGTGAAAAAAGATTCCTTTTTCCAACTCATCTGATCTCATTAGGGAGAACCTCTCGGCTTGGTGCTAATGGTAGCAGCTCTGTAACACATGTTCGTCTGACTTTCTGTCAAAGAGAGAGCAGATTCCAGGCTCAAAATAGGGCGCATCTGCTCAGAATTTTGTTGCCTTCATACTGTTTTTACAGCTACCTGCTATTTATTGCAAACGGTCCTGGTTTTCCCTTGTGAACTAGTGATACAATGTTTTATTTATAAAGAAAATTTCTCGAAAAAAAAAGGAGTTTATTTAAAGAAAAAGTATTAAGCAAATAATATTACGTATGATTTACGGATTATGGTAAATGGTATGTGAACAAACTCAGAGCTAGACTATGAAAGGGAGACAGAAATGTACCAGGGACAGTGAGAGCATTTGTGACACGTACAGCTTGCGTAAAGGGGCATGGCAAAAAGTCCGTTTGGAGAGCAATAAATAGTTCACTTTGGGAGGAGCAAGTTTCATTACTGATAAGTAATAAAGCTACAAATACAAAACTATACAAAAATTCCGTTAATCACAAAGCTTTACAAACCTGTTGATAATCCTTGATATTCCTCAGCTGTTGTTTCTCATCATTTTCTCCATGAACAATTTTCTTCTCTTTCTGTAGATCTGAGGAGAAAATTAAGCACTTCGGTCAACTTAAATCTGAACTTTTTCTTAAAGACAATACTCTGAGGAAGATACTTTGTTTAATTACGGAACTTAAAATAGCAGCCCAGAACAACTTCATCCTGAAAAGGCTTTTCTGGCAAGTAGGTGTTTTGTCTCATTTTTAAATCTTTAAAACTTGTTTCACCTGTTTATCAAATGCAGCGTATTGAAGCATAAAGCAACATATAAATAAAATGTGGTCTTGTATTCGGATGCTGTATTTTAAAATGCTGATTAAATTTAATGCAACTGTGGATGCTTGAAATGTGATGTGATCAGTGCACATGTGTTGGGACGGGGGCGATGGAAGAGAGGAGGGGTGGCAAAAAGACAGGAGCTCACTTGGGCTGGGTATGCAGAGTCAAAGAAAAGAGACAGGAGATGCTTCTGGCAGGTGAGAAGTATGAGTATGAGACAGTGAGATGAGAAAATTTCAAGACATTTTATGTGTATGTTCCCCTACAATATAAAAATTAATTAAAAATTATTTTTGAGTGTAGGATTGTTATTTATAAAAGGTGAGTCCTGGGGAGTCAAAGCAACCCAGCAACCCGCTTGGTAAGTTATAGGCTTACTCTGGAAGACTCAGTCTCAGTTTCAGGTCCGGTGGAGGTACTGAGAAGCCCAGGTGAGTACCAGTACAGTCCTTGCGAGGCTGCTTCTGACCAGTGGTCTTACATGGTGGCCACCAGTTCCTTGCACAGCTGTGAAGCGCACTGCCTCCTGAGCCATACAAGACCGTCTTGGCCATTTCTTAGATTCTAAGTGCTTCACATGTCCGATGACCAACCATCCTGTTTTGCCTAGACTAGGGTAACAAACCATCCCAGTTTGCCTGGGACTGAGGAAGCTCATGACACGAGACTTGTAGTGCAAAACTAGAACAGTGCCAAGCAAACTGGGATGGTTGGTCACCATAATGCGAGGGCATGGTAGCTATAGAGAATAGCATGTCAGATGTCCCCAACATTGAGGCACGTAAGGATGACGTAGTGCTGTGTGGTCTAAAATGCCTGTACTAGATAGACCCAGTCAGGGACACGCCATTTGAGTTTTAACCCGAGAACTTCAGAGAATTGCAGAAAATACAGGGACAGGCATCAAAATGCCTTACATATGGTTATGAAGAGTCCACACGGAAAGGCTAAAGAAAGCCGTATTATCTCCCACCCAAATAAACCTCTCCAGTTCATCCTACACACGTTATTTATCTATAACTCTGATGGTGAGGACTTCGCTTCCGCAAAAACCTCTCAAGGCTCTCGTTACTAAGTACAGACACTTTGGCTTTGGCATTTAAGGCTCTCCACTAATGACCTCTTGTCAATGATTCCATACTTGGACAGGCATGATCTTTATTTTAGCAAGGGTGGTTGTCAGAAGGGGTCAACATCGGCACAGGACAGGCACTGGAGAATGAATCCAGCTGTAGATGCTAAAGGGAGAAGGCTCACCCGTGCCCAAGGGTGAGCTCTCCACAGAGAATGTACAAAATGAAGTATCAGGATATTTCAGCATGTGGGTGGATTACACCCAGGTGTCTGCATAAATATTTGGCACCAGACAGATCTGCATGTTTAGGGTTTGGGAACAGGGGCTTCATGGAATGTGGGGTTGGGGGCGTAGCAAGGACATAAAGTCAAGAGTGAAGTCAGTGGCTGAGAAAGGACCGGCAAAGGACTTAGCCCAGGGCCCAGAGGAGAAGTCCACTTACACTAACTGGACACAGCTAAGGGATGGATGTAAAGCAGATGTCTAGGCAGGAGAACTGAGCTCCCACCTAAGGGTTAGACTAGAAAGAAGGGTGTCGGTCTGGAGGTTGTTTAAGCATCCCCAAGCTTAAAACAGGCTTGAGGCAGGGGGCCTCAGCTGTGGAGCCAAAGAGGGAAGCAGAGAAAGCGAATAAAACGAGGTCTAACCCACTCGACCCACCACTTCATCACTCTCACCATGTGAGATGACGTGAACACCTGCCCTTTCTAGCCGCTTCACGTCTTCTCCTACTGTTCGCTTTCTCAAGGATACTCCCTCCACTTTCTCCTGTTAAATTCCTTCCCATTCATTCTCCAAGGCTCATCTCAAAAGCTGTTCTTCCACCTTTCCAGTCATCCTCAGTGGGGAACTTTGGTACCTGCCTCCTTTTGATCTGTTATGGCAGTTCTGTGCCATAGAACTTTCTTCGATATTTTATAATCTGCACTGTTTAATAAAGTAGCCACTAGCCACCATGTGGCTTTTAAGTTCTTGAACATGGCTAGTGACTAAGGAAGTGAAATATTAATTGTATTCAGTTTTAATCAATTTAAATTTAAATGGCCACATGTGGCCAGTGGCTTCTGTACTGGACAATGCAGTCTCTCACATCTCTCAGAGTGCTTTCCCTTTAACAATTCAACAAATATTTACTGCATGCCTATTCTGTGCTAGACATGGTAAGAGGCATTATAAATGTAGGCATGATTAAGATACAGTTCCTACCTCAAGAATTAGCACAGACATTCTCCTTTTTACTATAGTTATTGGTATATTTTTCTTATTTACCATAATATTCTATAAGCTTCTTCAGGACAGCCATGTGTCTTACTCATCTTTGCATTCTCCCAAAGGCCTAACACAATGCCTGCAGATACCAGGTCCCACAACCAATTCATAATGAATTGAAAATTTATTCTTTTGTGAAAAACTAATATGATCAGAAGTCTAGGAGTAAAGCATTCATGTTCTGTTTCTTGAAAATACTGCAGCCATTATTTAATGTACGTCCTTAGATGACCCAAAATAGAAGATCCTCTTATTTACAGTTGTCAGAAGTGAAAGGCCAAAGTGAACAGAAAGGGAAGTAAAAGGCACATGGGCCATCTCCACGTCTGGGGCCTTCCCATCTGTCAGTGGGGTACCCCGTGTCCCTCCCCACCACCGTGCACCACACCTGGAAGCCCGATGGTTTCTCTCTCACCTGCAACCAAAATCTAGTCTCATATTCATGTACAGAGTTAACACATACGACTATAAAACTCAACATTTTAACCTTCTTTTAGGAGCTTTTTTATTTAAATGGTTATCATAGCCTCAAACTAAAGCAGTGGTTTTCCAACTTTGTGCTGGGCTCCCTGGATAATGGAAGGTAACGTGACACTTCCCTAAGAATTCACACTGGGGCGGGGAGATTAGAGGCAGCTCTAATTTTCTGGTTCTTGGGTAAGAGGATGGAAAATTATATATATGTAAACTAGAACAAAACTAATATAATAATTATAGGTACATTCCCATAATAATAAAATTATATAGTAAATACTATAAATATTACATAATTTTAATAATATATACAGTTAACCCTTGAACAACATGGGTTTGAACTGCATGGATCCAAGTATACGTGGATTTTTTAATAGCAAATACTATAGTACTACACAATCTCAGTTGGTTGAACCCACGGATGTGGAACCACAGATCCAGAGGGCTGACTATGAGTTATACTTGGATTTCTGACTGCAAAGAGGGTGGCCACTTCTAACCCCACCCCGAACCCCCCACCCTGTGTTGTTCAAGGGTCAACTATACATCTTTTTCCCTTTTAAAAAATCAACTTTATTACGGTGTGGTTTTCTTGTGTAGGTAATTTTTATTCTCCAACTTTGTAACTTGAAAGTAAAATTTTAAATTATGAGAACACATTTTCATAGGTTGACTCAACTGTGAGCTTTAGGAGTACAGACACCATGTCCAGCTTGTCTGTTTTGCTCAAGATGTTATTCTCATTACTTAGTATAGTACCTGCCACATGGCTGGAATCGGTAGTTAACCTGTTCAATGAATGAATGAAAGAGTTCTCTATTCATGTTCTTTCCCAACCCTCTATTTTTTCATTAAGCTTTTCCCATTCAATTTTTAAAATTATGGTAAAATACATATACCATAAAATTTACCATCTTAATCATTTTTAAGCGTATAGCTCGATGTTTAACATGTCCATGTTGTGTAATCATCACCACCGTCCATCTCCAGAACTCTTTTCGTCTTACAAAACTGAAACTATACTCATTAAACAAGAGCTCCTCATTTCCCCTTCCCTCCAGCCCCTAGAAACCACCATTTTTGTGCTTCCATGAGTTTGATTACTCTAAATATCTCATGTAAGTGGAATCATACAGTATTTGTCATTTTGTGACTGGCTTATTTCACTTAGCATGATGTCTCCCAGGTTCACCGATGTTACAGTGTATGTCAGAATTCCTTCCTTTTAAGGCTGAATAATATTCCACATATGTATGTACCACATTTTATTTATCCATTCATCCACTGATGAGCTTCCACATTTTAGCTATTGTGAATAATATTATGAACATGGTTGTGTAAATATCTCATTGAGACCCTTCCTCCGTTTCTTTTGGGAGTACCGTCAGAAGCAGAATTGCTAAATCATATGGTAGTTCTATTTTTAATTTTCTGAGGCACTGCTATACTGTTTTTCACAGCAGCTATACCATTTCACATTTCTACCAACACTGCATAAGGGTTTCAGCTTTTCAACATCCTGACAACTCTTGTTATTTACTGATTTATTTTGATAGCAGCCATTCTAATGGGTGTGAAGGGGCATCTAGTAGCTTTGATTTACATTTCTCTAATGATTATTGATGTTGAGCATTTTTTCATATGTTTATTGGCAATCTGTATACCTTCTTTGGAGAAATTATTGGGGTCCAATTTACATATAATAAAATGCACTCTTTTTAAGAGTACAGTTTAAAGAGCTTTTCACAAATGTATGTATCTGTATGACCACCACCCCAGTCAAGATTTAGAACATTTCTATCACTCTTTAAGGCTACCTTGTGCCCTTTGGCAGTCAGTGTCCCTGGCCTCAGGCAAATACTTGCTTTCCGTCACCATAGATTAGTTTTGCTTGTCCTAGAATTCCACTTACACGGTATGATATACACTATGTATTCTTTTGTGTTTGGCTTCTTTTGACATAATACTTTTGAGACTCTTTCATGTTGTTGCTGGTAGGCGGAAGACATTTTAAAAGTGAAAATTTCTGAACCTCTGAGCAGGTGGGAGATCACAATAATAACAGACATTTTTTAAGCACTTACAATATGCTGAGCGCTGTTCAGGCTTTACAAATAATATCCTATTTAATCCTAACATCAACCTCATGAGCGATGAAGAAACTGAGTCATGGAATGTAGAAGTAATCTGCCACACGTCCTTCTGCTACCTAGTGGCAGAGCTGGGACTTGAACTCAAGGAACGTGGCTGCAGAGTCAGTGTGGAAAACTGCCACTCTGCTAATTTGTCCAGGCACTGGGTGAACCCTGGCACTTCTGAGAGGGCCAGGGTGTACTTCCTGCTCCTCTTGTCCCTCTCCCCACTTGCCATCCTCAGCCTCTTCTCAGGCCGGATCACCTCAGTCGGAGCACACATATACCTGTCTAAACAAAGAGTCTAAGTTGCCACTAGGAAATGAAAGTCCTGGAGAAAAAATGAGTGAATAATAGAGACACAGAAAAGAGAAGCAATTACATTCCATTTTTCATTAGTACCATCTTGCCTGATTTCATGGGCCAGTGCTTATTTCATGCTCGATTATCTCATGAGACTGGATAGGAAAACACGCAAAAACTTGTTCCCCCACTCTTTTCTTTTTAATTCTTATTTTTTATTGAAGTGTAGTCGATTTACAGTGTTAGTTATTTCATTGTATCCTCACAAAGGTCAACTTACTTGGAAAGGCAGGAATTACAGTGGCCCCCATTTAATATTATTATTCCAAGGTGATGGAATGACTTGCCAGAAATTACGCACCTACTTCTGGATGATTGTCAATATTAACAGCCAAGCTGGGCCTAGAAGGCATCTCCCAGCATCACCTGCTAGGTGTTAGCTCTGGCTCTGTGCACCAGGATAGTGGTCTCCTGGTTGTAAGTAAAAGTATATTTTCAATTTGGGTTGTGTTAGTGTAAATGAGAGATATTGTAAATCACTTCTTCCTTCATCAAAGAACAAATAACTTCTTATTTTTATTATATAAGGATGGAGAGTTTTGCCAACAGATACCTTAATTGCCATCTTCTTTCCTGCTTGCTTTCACAGACCAGTGACCTTTTCTATTTCCTAGTGAACAAACTTCATGAGTACTTGCCAGAGTCTAGGGATAAGAATGCACTTCAAAATAAAAGCCAAAGGGCTGATGAGCTGGTGTAAGTACGGGCTGGATAATCACAGGTATTTTTCCCCTAAGGTGTTAAAGATAAGTGGAAGGCACTGGACAAAATACATAATGTATTAATGATTAATGGTGCTGCAAGTTTTGCTTCACATTAGGTTTTTTTTTTTAACTTTTTTTTTTAGATGTACTGGGGATTGAACCCAGGACCTCATGCATGCTCACCATGTGCTCTATCACTGAGCTATTACCCTCTGCTAGATTTTTTAAAAACAGCAGTCATTTTGTTCTAATTTTAAAAAACTACACAAGAAACTAGTAAATACTGGCTGTCTCAAAAGGGAGAAAAAAGTGGATGTATGAAAGAAAGGCACTTTTCACTGTATTCTCTTTTTACCTTTGAAATTTTGAGACAAATATTACCTACTTGAGACAGTTAAACCACTATGAAAATGACTTTTCTTCCTGACATCCACCTATTCATTCATTCATTCAAAAAATACTTTTGAGTGTTTACTATGCAGCAATCACAGAGTAGGCACTCAACCAATGTTGACAATTTGATGTAAAGAATTCTCTTCCTATACTTTTTTTCTACCTGGGTATCTGAATGCAGTTCTATTGAGGATAACTAATTTTGTGGAATTCTGAACTTGTAATGAAATCATGCCATTTCCATAATTTTTGCCTCTTTGTTTTCTAGGGCGTGCATTGAAATTATACAGACTCTGGGACTAATGTTCAGAGAAACAGAAACTGAGTCATCACGTCTGAACACATTAGCAGCTAAGAAGTAAGTTCTAAAAAATTGAAACCCTTGTATTTGCAACCCATTAACTACTCTGTTGAGTGTCTTCCAAAACTCCTAACTCTCTGGCTTTTCTCTTCAGCCCCCTTGTAAATATATTAAACTCTTTTGTCTTTCACAGATTAACTGGTGCCTACTGAGTTCTCTCTCTCTCACTGGTGCATGCTGATTATTGAGGGCACAAAGATTTTGTTAGCATAAGTTTATCGTTTGTCAGCGTCTGGAAAAGACCAAATGACTCATCATACACTAAAAACCAGTGGGTTTCTACTAGAATTTTCCAGAGTACCATTTTATCCACATAACAGAAAATTACATTGCAAAGGCAGGAATTATAGTAGCTTCATTTAAAATCTAATTGTGTGACCTTGGAGTGAATGACTTTGGGGGGTGAGCCGTTGTAATAAAGATATTCCAAAATATGTGGCCCAAAGGGGAGAGAAATTTCTATCTTTCTTACATAACAGTCCAGAGTAAATAGTCATGCTCTCTTCTACAAGATCAGCCAGAGACCTAAGTGCCTTCCTTTTTATTGCTCCATAGTCTTCTCTGATGCTTTGTCCTCATGGTTGAAGCTGGCTGAACTTCTTGCCTTCATTACACTCTGTGGGAAGCAGGAAGGGAAGTAAAGGGCAAGCAAATTTTCTATTTAAGCAAGGTGTGATAGACTTCTGCTCACATTCTGTCAGTGAGGACTTTAGGCATATGGCCATTTCTAGCGGCAAGAGAGGCTGCAAAATGTGTCTGCAGCTGGATGGCACGTGCCTAGCTAAACTTTAGACAGCAATGGGGCCATCTGTTATTTAAAGGAAGAATGGAAGAATGTATAGTGAAGGACGAGAGCATTCTTTGTCACAGAAACTATATGTTTACATGTTTTGCCTATTACCTGCTTGACCTTTTTATAAGATTTATAGACTATGAATTACATCCTTGGGTAGTGTTCTGGCAAAAATCTTAGTATTTTTTTCCTACTCTCTCCAATTATTTATCTACGTTTCTTGCATTAGAAGGTGGAAGAAGGGTGAGAGCCATGGACTCTAAAACATTTGAACCAGAGGGAAGAATAAGCACTTTTAATAATATTTGTCCAGGCTATTATTGGAGACCTTTACAAATAAATTTTAATGATAATATTCACTAACATACTTTAAGCAACGTGCTATGTGCCAGGGACTATGGGCATACGATGCTTTGTGACAGGGGTGGTCAAACACTTCTGTAAAAGGCCATGAAGTAAATTATTTTGGCTTTTCAGGTCATAGAGTTTCTGCGGAAACTACTTGATTCTGCCTTTGTAGTACAAAAGCGGCCACAGACACTATGCAAAGGAGTGGGCATGGCTGTGCTCCAGTAAAACTTTATTTACAAAAGCAGGCTCTGGGCTGCCTGGCCTGCAGGCACAGTTTATAGGCCCCCGCTGTACGGCATACAAGGGAAGAATACTCTGGTATTGTCTCTGCATACTTCTTTGCAGTTGATAGCACTGCCATTTCCCCAGTCTCCGAGAGAGTCAAGATTATTTCTCATATTTCTGTCTTCTCCCACTTTGAAATTATTGCTAAATCATGTTACTCTTTTTGTCTACCTTTTTGTCCCAACCTTTCTCTATCCAAGTTGGAAAAACAAAAAAACATTCTTACCAATCTCTGTTACAAAGGATTGCATTTTGATTGTTGTCTTAACTTTGTTTGACCGTATCCACCCTACTATGTCAAGCCTCTTTCCTGATATGACTAATTCTTTTCGTGTCCTTTGATACATTTATTATAGTGCTATGGTAGAGTCTAGTTGTAATACTAACTTTTCAGTCAATTCTGATATGCATGTGGTCAAATCATGTTACCTGTAGCATGAACTGGCACAGTAAATATGTAATATCACTAATAATCTTCTATTGCCATGTAGAAAGTTACCATAAATTTATGTGGCTTCAAACAACATACATCTATTTTCTCACACTTTCTGTAGGTCGGGAAATCTGGGCACAGCTTAGCTGGATCCTCTGCTCAGGGTCTCACAAGGTTGCAGTCAGCAGGCTAGGGCTGCAGTCTCATCTGAGGCTTGGGGCGCTCTTCCAAGCTCATTTGGATAGTCATTAGCAGAATTAATGTCCCTACAGCTGTAAAACTTATGACAGTTTGCTTCTTGGCAGGAGAATATCTCTGAGCTCAGGGAACACCTAAACTCTCTTTTAAAGGGCTCATTCAGTCAGGCCTTCCCAGGATGATCTCCCTTTGATGAACTCAAAAGTCAACTAATTGGGGATTTTAATTTCATTTGCAAAACCCCTACACCTTTCTCATCCAACATAACATAATCACAAGAGTGACAGCCTAACATATTCACAGGTCCTGACTATACTTAAGGGGAAGGCATGATATGGAGTATATATACCTGGGTTGGAAATCGTGGAAGCCATATTAAAATTCTGCCTACCACAATAACATAGATTGACTTATGAGACTATGAGTTTGCCCTTCAAAGTCTGTATATTAAGATACTGTAATACATTAAAATTCTTACATTGGAAATAATAACAACACAAACAATCAAAGTATCAAACTGTTGGTACGATTTTTAAGGGTGTGATAGCAATCCTATAATAAGTTTATTTTCAGGATGAAACCACCATTTTAGATTACAGTTTCTTTTATCTATTATTGGCTTAATGGATTTTAAATTGAGTTGGTAGAAAGGATAGATTTCAAATTAAATTCCACTTGAGCAAATAAAAAAGCATTTATTCATTTCAGCATTTTTCCTCTATTTTTTTCGTAAGTGGAGACTTAACAGTTCAGCCCACTTCATTGTATTCTTGAAATGTGCCATAACCCTTTCATTTGTTTTCAGTATTATGATAGCTGAATTCATGTATTCTCACAGCAAGCAACCCAGAATTTAAGAATTCCTTCTCTTAGTCTAGGATATATGATCCTTTGAAAAGAAGCTGTTGTTGAAAATAAAGGACTATAATTAAATATAGCAGTGAATGGCATGTCAATTCAAACTTAGTATCAGGAAAAGCTTCTAAATGGAGTGCTTTGTTGATTTTGGAAGTGTCTCCTGAAAATGGATTGGCTGATTTAAAACACCCTGAATAAAACATTAGCAAATATCCTGTAGGATGTGTCCTGCTTTTTGAGCAATGTGCTAACTAACATGCTTCCTCTTTTGCAGATATGAGACCTAGACTTGTTTTTTGAGTTGGAGAAAGGAGGGGAATTGTATTTTTATTAGAATTTTGGTAAATTTCTAATCATGACAATGATTTAAATGATTATAAAAAGATTGTGAAGCCTCAAATATTACTAAGCAAGAATTGTTTATATTCTTCTTTATTCCATCATGAAAGGAATGCTTAGGGTTATGGAGGGCTTTTTTTTTTATACAGTCCTATATGTAAATTCTTTTACTGCTTCTATCTGTCAAAGCTACTCTGATAATTGTCTTCAGTGAGGCAACTGATTTTTTTTAGTGGTGTGCCTTCAGCTCCTTTTCATACTACACATATGAAAATGGGGTTACTAACCCAGCATCTCAGGATGCATGTTTTGAATTGTGATTTTGTGTGTGTGTGCCTTTTTATTTTCAAATAGTATGATACATTATTCAAATACATAGTAACATTTAAGTGAGTCATTAGTGTATGTTAGTGGACTGTACACTATGTTTGAAAGCAAAAGACTTGAAGTTGGAACACTAGTTTTATTTATTAATAGTGGGAAAGTATACCTCTGAAATGCTTTCTTAAAACCAAGGTTTCTAGCATCAAAAAACTTAAAAGTGATAAGCATTTAAAGAAATGCTTCATACTGTTTCTTTGTCCCGGAGATACACAGTGCACATTAGCATGTTAAAACCTCTTAGACGTCCTGAAGTAAAGCTACCCAATGAACTTGGTTTACCCAAGTGTTTCCTATACCTCCGCTGACCACAGAATCTTATTTTGACTGTAATATTGCCTGGAATTAGTAATCCATAAAAAAGCCCTTTGGAAAATACTGCTATAATTGAAATCACCCAAATTTCCCAATAAGTCCAGATTTCCTAAGATTTCCATGCTACAGGAACTTGTAGAACTATATTTGCTTTGAGCCAAAAGACCAGGAAATTATATTCTCATTTAAATGGCTCATCACTAGATATTTAACTGCATGTCTAAGGATCCAAAAGTTCAGTCAAGAATGGACTGCAGTCACTATCAAAAGCTTCCAGAGCTCAACACTGAATTTGGTAAAGTTGCAGGATACAAAATTAGTATATAGAAATCTGTGACATTTCTATATGCTAACAATGAACTATCAGAAAGAGAGATTAAGAAAACAATCCCAGGAAGGGCAACATAGGGGTAGGAGAATAAAAGGTACAAATTATTATGTATAAAATAAACTATAAGGATATATTGTACAACATGGAAAATACAGTCAATGTTTTATAATAACTATAAATGGAGTATAACCTTTAAAAATTACGAATCACTGTACTGTACACCTATAAATTATATAATATTGTACATCATCTATACTTCAATAAAAAAACCATGATGAGCTACCATTTAATCAATAACAAAAATAAAACAATCTCATTTACAATCACATCAAGAAGAATAAAATATCTAGGAATAAATCTACCTAAGGAGATAAAAGACCTATACTCAGAAAACTGTAAGACACGTGAGATGGCCAACAGGCACATGAAAAGATGCTCAACATCACTAATCATCAGAGAAATGCAAATCAAAGCCACAGTGAGATAGCACCTCACACCTGTCAGAATGGCTACTATCAAATAGACCACAAATAACAAATGTTGGGGAGGATGTAGGAAAAAGGGAACTCTTGTACACTGTTGGTGGGAATGTAAATTGGTGCAGCTACTGTGGAAAACAGTATGGAGTATGGAAGTTTCTCAAAAAACTGAAAAACACAACTACCATATGACCCCCAAATTCCACTCCTGGATATATATTTGAAGAAAATGAAAACACTAATCGAAAAGATACATGCACCCCAATATTCATACCAGCATTATTTACAATTATCAAGATATAGAAGCAACCTTAGTGTCCATCAACAGATGAATGAATAAAGAAGACGTTGTGTGTGTGTGTGTGTGTGTGTGTGTGTATACACATACATACATACACACACAATGGAATGCTACTCAGCTATAGAAAAAGAATGAAATTTTGCCATTTGCAACACTGTGGATAGACCTTGAGGGTATTATGCTTAGTGAAATAAGTCAGACAGAGGAAGACAAGTACTGTATGATTTCACTTATATGTGGAACCTAAAAAATAAAACTAGTGAATAGAAACAAAAAAGAAACAAACTCACCCATATAGAGAACAAACTAGTGGTTACTAGGAGAGGGAAGTGGGGAGGGGCAAGATAGAGGTAGGGGGTTAAGAGGTACAAACTACTATGTATAAAATGAATAAACTATAAGGATATGTTGTATAGCACAGGGAATATAATATTTTATAACTATAAATGGAGTACAATCTATAAAATTTTTGAAACACTATATTGTGCACCTGAAACTAATGTAATATTATAGATCAACTTCACCTCAATAAAAAAAAAGAATGGTCTGCAATGCCTCATACTTTTAAGTATAATTATATTCAGTGTCTGCAAACCTGGCATCATTGTGTTTCTTCTTGAACTTTACTCACTAATTGCCTTTGTTTTTTTTTTCAGGGGAACATTATTTAATCTCTTGGTAATTTTAATTAGCGAGCCTCAGATCCCAAAATCTTGTCCTGTGTTTGACATCCAGTTGGTGGCTGATTCAAATTTAGTTGAGATGTCTTTTGATGCTGAGGTGAGATGAGAATTTTGGAACAGACTAAATACAACATATAGGGGTCCTGGGTTCTTCTATGTGGACCATTACATTGTATAATACAGAAATATAATTACAGCGCAGGGAACTATATTTGATATCTTGTACTAATTAATGGTGAAAAAGAACATGAAAATGAATATATGTATATTTATGTATGACTGAAGCATTGTGCTGTACACCAGAATTGACACATTGTAACTGATTATACTTCAATAAAAAATTACATATACAAAAAAACAAATATAATTAAATCAAAGAGTAAATAGTTTGTTATTAACCTCAAAATTTAGATAGCTATTCTGTCAATATGAATATTATATACGTTCTGTGTTTTAAAGTATGCATACTAAGAAAAATAATTAGTAGTCTGTATATATTAGATAAATCTCTTTATATTTATCTCTATACAAAATATTTACATATATATAATTCCACAGGGGTCTAGTGGGTAAAAAAAGCACTATCTTAGAGATTTTAGGGTTAATACTCTTACCTTTGCTTACCATTTCCTTACCTATCTAAGTAGTGCAAATTTAGTGAGAGTTACTTGTTTTCCTAAAACATTAGTGGTATCAAAGTGCCTAGATTGTACTTATTCTGAGATAATAAATCAGATTGTTATTAGTTTATTTTGATCAGGAGAACACAGAATTTGTTTTAAAGGATGAGACATGATTTGATAGTTCTTGAACACACAATCAGAGTTATGTTTTAGAGAACTCTTAAATTCACTCATTCTTTCAATAAATGTTTACTGAGTATCTATTATGAGCTAAACAGTGTGGAAGGCAGTGGGGTCTAAACAAAAAGCAAAACAGACACAATCTCTGCCCTCATTAGTTTATAGTCTGGCTGGAGTGAGAGATGTTAGTCAAATATAACATCAGTGTATTATTACCGACTGTATATAACGCATCTACGATACCAATTTCAACAGCGTAGTAAGTGGACTAGGGATTAAAGAGGAGGATGGAAGCAAGACTAAACCAGACAGAGATGTTAAGAAGCTAGTGCTGTAGTCCAGGTGAGGGATGATATGGGCCAGAAGGGAGCCCTCCCTTGACCCCCAAACGAGACTAGGCTTTCTTTTTAGAGCTCTCCTAACTTTCCATGCTTTGCTCTCATAGCCCTGGTCTCAGTCTGTAACTGTGCATTTATTGATGTGATTATTAGATTAACATCTGTTCCCCACTAGACTGTATATTCCATGAGGGCTGAGACCATGTCTCTGTTACTCTCCATTGTATCCCCAACTAGCACACTGTCTGATGCATATTTGTTGAATAAATAAATGAAGAAAAGGGACGGTAGTTGCGAAGAGGAGAGATTCCAGAAATTTTTAGGAAATTGAGTTGATAGGTTGATGGAAAAATAAAAAGTGAAGATTAGATGACTTTTAGATTCTGGCCTGGGTGTCAGATAAGAATTACAAGAAGGATAGGTTTAAAGGGGAAATAATGCGCTTGGTTTTGGATTAGTTTCTTTGATTTGCTTTTGATATTTCCACATGAAAATTTCTAGTGGGCAGTATAGACAGGTCTGAATTTCCTGTTTTCAGACCTGCTGATCTTTTGCACCTGGGCTGTTAGTGAAGCCATGAGCAAATCATATAAATTCTGATTCCAAGGTCTAATAGAGAGGGAAACTTCAAACTAGAGCTCTTCTTTGCAAAGAATACTGTCAGGGAAAGTGTGTTGGCCTGTAGCATGCTCACAGACACAGTTCTCATGCACCAAGCGGACTTCGGGCTAGAAGACAGCCTCCCCAACTGTTTGCAGTTCTTGAGAATAACAACAAAATGTCTCCAAACGTATATTTACCCATACCACAGAAGGAGTTATACTTTAAGTGGGGCACAAGGCTAAATTTCAAGAATTGCCCACCTTAATTCTGGGGAGCATATTTCTACATTCTTGAAAGGAAGCAGGGTGGTTGATCTGAATGGTTTTGCAAATCAAGTGTGCAATTCTTTTTGTGTGTTAGTATTCTGTAGGCTTACCGTGACCAACTTTCTTAGCCATTATTAAATGTGTCATTTTTATGAGAGCCACTTTTTTGAGAATGACTGAGTCAAATGGAGTAAGAAAACTGACCACACTAATAATATTTTCTGTTAATCAAAAGCAATTTTTTTATAAGTACCTAAAGAGAACCAGGAGAAACTACCATTTTCTGGCTCTGCCAATGATACTGATTACGATTTAAAATTCCAGTTACAGAAGCTTGTCCTGGAATATACAGATACAGCTACAGCACTTTTATATGAGATACTTCTTGTCTTTCAGCAGGTACAATACATGTTTGTATTATACATACTATATTGTATGATTATTATATGTGTCATGACTTATATCTATATGATTCATAATATACCTTAAAAATGCTTATATTAGAGATAATCTCCAAAATTGGCTGATTTACATGATAGTACTACTTTTGCTCTTAAGTGTTCATGCAGCTTTTTCTCCTAAATAGTGATTTTAAAGACTTGATTAATCAGGATAAAATGTATTTGAGAATGAGTATCTTTTTAGGTACAATTTGAACTTCATGAATATAACTTGTTTATTTCCTTGAGTCTTTTAGGGAAATCTTGGATTGGGGTCAACGAAGTTTGCTATTAGCTGGATGATGTCCTTTCTACAAAGTTGTCCTCCCATAGTAAGTACCCAGAAGCAGAAACAAAACTACCACTCAAGGCTAATGAAACAGATGCTCTTGTGCTTAATTTTTTTTTTTTTGCAGGGGAAGGTAATTAGTTTTATTTATTTAGTTAGTTTCTTGATGGAGGTACTGGGGATTGAACCCAAGACCTCATGCATGCTAAGCATGTGCTCTACCACTTGAGCTATGCTCTCCCCCTGATGCTCTTGTGCTTAATTAATAAAACACAAAATTTCTCTGTAAGTAGTCAAGTTTATAAAACAGAAGAAAATGCAAATTTGATGATTTTATTGATTAAAATAAAATGTTTTTATGTTTGGGACCTGAATGTTTAAGGTACTGAAATGACATCTTAAGTGTGATCTTTATTTAACGAAAAGCCCTAAGATACACATAGAAAACAGAATATTAAAATATTGGCTGTGTAATTAAGTGAAAAAAATGAACATTTATCTTAAACAGTGAGTGCAAGTTGGCGAGTATGACTATAAGACTTGGAATACTCCAGCCACCCTGTCCTGGCAGCCAGCATCCTGGTCTGTAGTATCACCGTCTCTCTCCTTGACACTACAGTACCATCTACATGGTCTGTCCTATCTTCCCACCGGACTACAGTCAGAGGACTCTGTTCAAAATAAAAACCTGATTATGTCATCCCTTGCTTTAAACCTCTCATAACAAATAAAGACCGTGAATAAAGACTAAACTCCTAGGGAAGGGTACAGCTCAGTAGTAGAGTGTGTGCTTAGCATGCAAGAGGTCCTGGGTTCAATCCCCAGTGTACTTTCATTAAGAAAAAAAACTTATATAAACCTAATTATCTCCCCTCCCCAAAAAGCTTAAAAAATAAAAAATAAAAAGACTAAATTCCCTAATATGGCCTCAAGGCCACGCATGTTACAACTCTACAGCCTCATCTGGTCCTTCACTCTTCCAGTTATGTGGCTCTCATACTCACAGCCCAACCCCAACACCCCCAACTCCATCCCAGCGTTTTCACCATTCCTTCTGTCTGTCTGCCTGAAGTGCGTTTCCTTCCCTCTTCCACCTAGTTCACGCCTACTCGTCCTTCAGGCCTCAGTGCCCCTTCCTGCTGTGGGGTAGGGGGACGACTCTCTCGCCTCTGACTATGTTAGAGTCCCCATTATTGGCACACATAGTCACAGCATGGTGTCTCCTTCCTTTCTTTCGTAGGACTTGTCACTGCTGCAGTCTCCATTTGTTTATTATTGATTCTTTCCTGTGGCAGCCATTAGTGTCCACACACATTCCAGCTCTCTCTTTCCAGGCACATATCCCTCCCCACTTGAGATTAGATGGTTCCGTTTTTCGCTTTGGCCAATGGAATGTGAGCGGAAGTAACCTATGTCACTTCTTGTCCCCCTCCAAAAGGTTTAAGGAGCTAGTGCAATGCTTCTCTGCTTTCTCTTTTCCTTCTGACATGGTGACTGGCAACATTCCATATGGTCCTGAGTGACTACAATGAGCAGAACCCCCTAGCGACCGTTAACGGACATAGAGCGTGAGCAAATAATAAACCTTTGTTGTATTACGCAAAGCACTGATATTTTGTGAAATCTGTTACCACAGCATAACCTAGTCTGTCATGACTGATACACTGACTCCTCCCCAGATAGACTCCAGGTGCCTTAAGGATAGGAGCTGTGTCTATTGTACTAGGCACATAATAGATGCTCAGTTCTCATGAAGGCTTTATCCCTTAATCTCTTCTCATTTCCCCAAACTTATTTTCCCCTTGCTCATTCATGTATTCATACATTCAATAAGCATATATTTAATTAGAAATTTTTTCAAAAGGTTGGAATCCAAACTGAATTTTCATTGCTTGGGGAGGGTTGATATGTGGTTTATGTTTTCTTCCCATAAATGAACACGCCTCCCTTGATCATCAGTGGTTTCTTGCTTCGAGCTATTTTTCTAGAGTGATGCTGAGTCTGTCCTAGGGAATCTAGATTCTCTTGCCAGATCTCTGTGACACGTGTTTACAAACACCTGGCTAGAGAGGGTACACTTGTCAGTAGTACAGTCACCTGCCTTGTACAGAGACTAAGCCCAAGCATTCGCCCCCGCTTAGCAGCCAAACCCTAACCGGTCTCAGGCCCACTTCAAGGAGTGCTGTAAAGTTACAGTCACTCCCAGCAACAGAAGCTCATATTTGCAAGACGCAAGACCCTTACTTTTTTTGGGCAGTGGTTGCAGACCCCGTGAAATTTGGGGTCCTAAGAACTCCAAGCAACATGAAAGTTTCCTTATCAACCTCTAGGGTTGGTTCACCACAGAAACTGATCTGAATATGAGGCCATTCTGTGACCATAAAGCACGTCAGGATGAAAGATGGCAGAAGGACCACTAACACTGTTGAAAGCTTCAATATTAACCCAGTTCTAAGGAGTTTGGGTAGAAACAGATCATTTGAGAAAAATTTATAAGCAAGGAGAGAGTTGGGATCACTGAATACACCTGCATGCCAGGCAGCTCCGGCTGATTCTCTTACTTGGTTAGAGCAAGATGCTAGAGACATTAAAAGTTTAATCCTCAGTGGGCGTTGTTTTGTTTCACTGCTCCAGACTCTCTGACTTCAACCTGTGTTTGCCTGTCACAGTATTTAGTCAATATGTGTACGTGGATCTGGACGGGGGAAATTTCACTTTGAATCTCCTGCCCTACCTAGGAAGGGTCAGTAGCAACATCAGTATAAAAGGCAACACATTTATTGGTACTAATTTAATGGGCGTACAGAATGACCCGCTGGTTACAGCCTGAAAGGGCACTTCATTCCTTTCTGTTTTTTACAGTAGCCTAAATTTATAGATAGTAGTTTGAAAATGCACTCCCCCACACCAAAAAAGACTTGTGGAATCCATTGTTTTTGTTTTATATTATTTGCTTGTTATTTTAATTCCCCCCGAGAAATAACAGCAGAAGTGCTCTTGACGAAAGCCCCAGCTAACAGTGACACCAACATCACTTGCTTGTGTCAGGCCTGGCTTTCTTTGCCTTCTCACTTTGTGTTTCTCAGGTGTGGACCAGGGAACAAACTCATCAGAACTGTTTATGATAAGTATCAGGAGGTAGGACCCAGGATTCTGCATGTTTTGTGAGTTGTCTAGGTGTTTTTTATGCATGCTAAATTTTGAGAAGCACTGCCTTGTAAGATCCTTCTTTAAAAGTCACAGGCAGTTGATCTCCGTGGGCCATTTGTTGTTTTTTTTTAATGAGTAAAGGTAGATTTATTTAGAAAGATTCATACTACATAGAGTGTAGGCTGTTTCAGAAGGCGACAGAAAGGCCACAAGGTGTGGGGGTTGAGTGCTCAGGTTAAAGTAAAGTAGATACACACTTCACAGACAGAATGTGGGCCATCTCCGAGGCCGAGGGAGCGAAAGAGACCCCGTTTGCTCTTAACAGGAGAATAGAAGAGAAACCCTTTTCCCTACGGGAGGAGGCCACAGGTCTTTCTGAGCTCCCTTTTCATCCCCACACCTGCTTCTAATGTTCTCCTTCCACTTTGGAGCCAAACTTTTTTGCCAGTCAGTACTAGCTATGAGCCTGCTTGAAGTGGGACAGTTGGTAAACCCAAATGGTCTATGGTCTGGTGCTTTCCCAGTGCCATTTGAGTGAGAAAAAGTGCAAGGACACTGGTTCATAAGGGTGCTGAGGACTTTCGCCTAGACTTAAAGTTGAGATTCCAGCTGAAGTAGGTCTCTTACAGGTGGCATGCAGCCTCCATGTAACTGCATCTTCCTTGTCTAGATTACTTTTGTGGCCAGTATTGTGAAACAAGTGGTGAAGGGGCTTTCAGCTTCATATCAGCTGCTAAGCCCTGGCCAAGCAGTTCTGCTGTACCAGCAGTTTTACATCCTCAAGAGCTGCCTGCAGCACAGCAAGACTTTGGCGGAGTACATTAGGAATGACTACAGAGAAGAATTCAGGTAAGACAAAGTCTGAATCCACTCATTTCTGATTTTCATGCAAAACTACCACATGGCCCAATATTTAGAAGATCAAGTGATGATGGGAAATTCTATTTTTGTTTTTAATAATATTTTACTCTGATAAAATAGTTACCTTACCGTGGTAAGGTAGGATGAGGGGTAGGGGAGAGGAAGGCTCTAAGAACCACTGCCATTTGAAGTATGTTCCCAGGCCAGAAAAGACTGGTGGAAATCAAGCTCTATTTGAAGAAGTGTTTCTCAGTCAGTGTCTTTATTGCAGCCAGCCTCTATCTCACAGAACTATTAATGCTTTTAACATGCTGTGAGTGATTAAGCTTAACAAACCCTACTGAAGGAGATGATGTATTATGGACTGTGAATTACCTGAGTCACTGGGAAAGAAAAACAACTGAAAAAGGAGGAACAATGAATGCAGTTATCAGGGATATGTTGTTTTGTTGTTTCATTTACCCCTCTCTTACTCTCAGGAACAAAACAGTATGAAAGAGCAGTAGCGAGCATTTGTTTCATCAGCCTGCTTGTTCTGCACCTCAGGGGTTCCTACTTCTATTTATAGGCTGGCAAAGCCAGGTGCACTTAACGGTGCCGCCCTGCACTGGCACCTTTCAAGGAGAAAACCCAGGTTGTGTCTGATTTAAGATGAAAAGGGTGCAGCAGGCATTGCTTTGCTACCAGTTTGGATGGAGACATATATAAGGATGTGGAGGCATATATTGTGGCCTTAGATTTAAAATTTTTTTTCAGTCCAGTTTGTACACCCTGTTTTTCCTTTACGTGGTTTTATACTAAAGGTTCCATTCTGGCTCCCATACAAGGGTTTTGTTTGGCCCACTCTGAGTTGTTCCACACAACCCAATTTCTTCTTCACTATTTTGAGGTAAAATTCATACAGCATGAAATTCACCATTAAACATTTTAAAATATGCAGTTCAGTGGCTTTTAATACATTTCACAATGTTTTACAACGATCACCACTGTCTAATTGCAGAATGCTTTCATCACCCACAAAGAAACCTGGTACCGGTGAAGCAGTCACACCCCAGCCCCTGGCAACCACTAATCTACTTTCTGTCTCTGTGGATTTGCCTATCCTGGACATTTCATACACATGGAATCATGCAACATAGGGCCTTTGTGTTTGGCTTCTTTTACTTAGCATGATGTTTTCAAGGTTCATCCATATTGTAGCATGGATCACACAAAGCAATTTTTAAAAATTAGTTGTACTTTTAAAAATCTGCACAATGGCAAGAACAGCATCACACCCTTACATGGCAACAGTTGGCTGCAGCGCAAAAACAGCTACCTTTTTAGGTGGATTATGTACTGTTTAGTTTGCCACTGACCTTCTCTCTGTCCTTACTCTTACCCTTCCTCCTATTATGTTATCTGTGGGCATTTAGGTTTGTGATCCTTGTTTTTACACACGTGATTTTCAACCTGCCACGCATTAGAATCAGCAGAGTGACTATTAAAAAACACTGATACCCAGGTCTCACATGTAGAAATTCTGTTCAGTTTGTCTGGGGTGGGGTAATGACATTAAAAAAAAAACCACTCCCCAGGTGATTCTAATGTGCACCCAGGGTTGAGAAGGGATCTTTAAAAACATCCAAGGGGCTGGCTAAAGATATCCTTAACTTTTGTCTCCTCCCTGGCCTTCCCTATACAGCTGACCCATGAACAATGTTGTGGTTGGGGGGCACCAACCCCCACCCAGTTGAAAATCCACGTATAACTTTTGACTCCCCCCAAATTGCACTACTAGTAGCGTACTGTTGACCAGAAGCTATACTGATGCCATGAACAGTTTATTAACAAGTATTTTTGTATATGTGTTATATACTGTATTCTTACAATAAAGGCAGCTAGAGAAAAGTCAACATTATTAAGAAAATCATAAGGAAGAGAAAACATATTCAGAGTACTGTACTGTATTAATTGATACAGTAAGTTTACATTGCCTTTAAAAGATGAACCATCTATCAGTACCTACATCAATATTGTCTTACATGATACAAAACATCACAGATATCGCACGCATTACTAACACTAGAATCAAAAATGAAAAGATAATGTGAAAGAGAAATTCACATTTATTTATAATAATTCATGCATGATAACAAAGAAACAGCAATATGATTGCTTCATGGTAGAATACAATAATGAATACACTTATAAAATTGTATGGTATATAGTATTATAATCATATTCATAATATAGTATTGGAAACATTGTTACCTTAGAAAAAAAAACCACAACACTTACCTGTGATGATAGCCTGATACCCAGTTTCTCCAGGTACAAGAGGGAGAAGGATACTGTATGGTACGTAATTCTTTTATTATAAAGCGAAGTTATAAAACAGTAATAAGAAAACTAACACGTTATTAATTTTACACTAAACATCACTCATCTTACGCCTCATACAGATGGGCTATCCACTTCCATACTAGTCTTGCACATGATGTTCTACATGTATATTTTTGTATATTTATTGAAAAATTCCAGGTATAAGTGGACTCGTGCAGTTCACACCCAGGTTGTTCAAGGGTCCACTGTAGTTTTAGTGAGGCTATGGGGACAAACCCTCCTCTTCCCTCTTGACTTGGCCTTAGTGGTCACCCCAGCTTGACCCATTTCAACTCCATGCTGTGTATGGCTTGCGAATACAAGAGGCAGGAGCCTCAGCTCACACTGTGGTAAGGCCAGTCCTGGCTTGCTTATTAATGCTTTGATAACTGATGCATTATTAATGCAATTCACTTTCTTTGCTGAAGTAAAGTGCTCCAGTGAGCTGAAAGGCACACATACCAGAGATCTTCTTGGTCACAAATGCGGGAGGCTGGAGGGTTAAAAATGTTGGTGGAGTCTCTGGGTTAGACTCCCACACCTAACACTCCGACACCAGTAAGTGCGCACATACTGATGTGAACAGTGTGAAAAAGTCTTGTTCTTAAAGCTGTTTTGTTTCTTTTTATGATTTGCAGGTACTTTATCCACATGCCAGCCTTGGAAAAAAGGCTCCCATTGTGTTACCCTATTACCCAATCTACCACTCAACTTTTCCATGAACTTCTGAAGTTGGTTGAACAGGAACAATGTGTGAAATGTTCATAAGAGTATAAAATGTTAGTTGGAAGTCAACTTAATATTTGTGAGAAACATTTTGACTGGTTAACATCTCGCTATTCCTGTGTCCTATAAACACTTATTTGAAGGCTCCATCAATACCTCTCTAAGAGAAGTCTTTAAAGTTTTCGATCTGCTACAAAAAAAAAAGAAACTATTTAAATACACTCACATACATAAAGTGGTGCACAAGACTAGTATTTTTCTAAAAGAAAAAGTTTCTAAAGACATAAAAACCTATAAAGGGAACAGACGTTCATGAAGAGCAAATGTAGAAAGTGCACCCTGATGAGTTTTGTTGGTGTAACAATGGTGAGTGGTGCGAAGTCACTGAAATAACCAGAGGTCAGTTGTTTGGAGGAGTATAAATTACAAAGTGATCATGATAGAGAAATGCTGGGTGATAGGACAAAAACCTCCTTCTCCATCTGTAAAAATTCCATTGACAAGTATTCATGGAAGAATGAGGAGAAGACACAGGCATAGCTATAAAGAAGGTCAGTTCCTCATTTATCCCAAGGAAAGAAGCTTGGACTTTGTTCAACGTAGTTGAGCGCATCGGGCCACCTGAGCACCCAGGCACACGTGAGCAGTCTTGTAGAGTCTCTATGAAAGCGACACTGTTTATAAGCAGTCATGGCTCTCCCACTTATTTAAAAAATCTCTTCACTATATCTTTAGGCAATAAAGTAACTTAATCCAACAAAAAACCTTAAGTTTGGCATCACTGTTGAGCTATTGAATTTGGGCTTCTAAGGACTTAGGAACTGGGTCCTCCATTCAACTTAGGACTTGAGGGAGGATCAGAGAAAAATCTGCCACTAAAGAAAGAGCCCCCACACCAGGTTTTGCCTGTGCTGTGCAGTGGAGAGGGAATTAAACTCACTCAGGACATCTTATTTCTGGCTCTGGCTAAGCCACTACTTAAAAGCCAGCAGTTTGACCTTAAAAAAGTCAGGTCTCCTCTCTGGGCCTCCTGTGCTATGAGGAGGGTAGGACCAGACGGTCTCCAAGTTCTCTTCCAGCTCTAACGTTCTCTGCCTGAGACGAGACACATCTTAATGTTGTAACGGGGTAGTGGGCTCCTCTGCTATCCCGGCTCAATGGATGATTCCACATTGATTCCAAATAATCCTGCTTTCTTTGGACTAAAGAAAGCTGTCACCAACATTGCCCCAGAAAGTGTCCAGACCTTCTCCACTGTCCCCCATCCAGGACTACAAGTCTTCTACTCTCCAATCTGAGGGCAGAAGAAGCAAAATGGTGTTTATAAGTGTCCTGAGCTGTTCGATGAGGGACATTCCCAAGAGATGATCAATCAGAATATAGAAAGATTCCTGACAATGGCAAGCAACACTTCAAACTGGACAAGTGATAGACAGCGGAGCCTGCAGAATGACAAGAGGACCAACTCCGCTCTGCCTCAGCTTCTCAGTGGCGCCCTGGCTCTGGGAGATCACCAGGGAGGCTCTGGAGAGGGCTCGGGGTTTCTTTCCCATGTGCCTTCTTGCCCCTGTTGCCTGCTTCTCCCACTGTTCTCCTCAAGCTGAGAGCATCCTTCAGCTCATCTCTGCGAGCAAACGGTCAGTCTGAATGTACCTGAATCTTTCCATGTAGGCCTCAGTCAGTGGCTTTTTTGAAAGCTAATGGTTGAATATTTGTCATCTTGATTTTCTTATGACACATGGCTATTCATCTGGACA